TCCCAACGCGGCGCTGGATGTGCTCGATTTCTGGCGCGTCCGATTTTTTTCAGCGCTAAAGCGGCTAGCAAGCATGCGGTAATGAGAAATGAAGAATTTTAAGCCGCGGAAGTGGGACACGTTCAGTGCCCTTGGGGATATCAGGTTTTTTATTCCCCCATTAAACATTATTTTCGCCGGTTTTTTTGGGAATTCGAATTTTAAGACCAAAGTAAGTGTAAATGCGCGCGTTTTCTTCGGTTTGGGGAATTTTGGCGTTGATAACGTTTATGCCAAAATTAGAGCACTGCTGCAGTGCCGGCTTCTGTCGTTATAAAACGTGCTGACGCCAAGTTGCTGATCGTTTGGTGGGGGATTTCGACATACTGTCTCGTGATATTCGCCCTCCAAAAAAAAATGGAGAAGTAAGAATCCGAAAATAGATTCACTTTCTTCTCTGGGATTGCCTTTGTCTTGCTTTGTTCTGCTCTGAATCAGTTGCGGGGCTGTTGGTGCAGTGCATCTCTTTGTTAGAAATCTCCACCAGATTTCATTAAGAGTGTAAACAACTAATAGCCCTACGTATTTCGAGGGGCTCACGTTTTAACAATAAATGAAGTAGATACGGGATGCCTTTGCACGGGGGGGTATTTTTGCTGTGTAATTGTTAATGTCACTGTCTTAATAAAACGTCCTTTATGTTCGGGAGTGCTGCCTTAAATGATGAAATGTGATGTAAGAGCATGACTATGTGAAGTACGGAGCATCCCACTGCCGCTAGTAGGACTGAATTGGCATAAAATGTCGCCTTTGCTAGATCGAATCTTCTATAAATGCAAACGCAATTAAAAATGTATGGTGCTGTATGTCGACCATTAATCTTCTCTTTCAGGTATTATTAATATTCTGCAGCATTACCTCACTTTCAGCTTATGAAACTGTGTAGACCTCCTAATTTTCTGCTGATTTACGGTGTTACTGTTAAAGGCGTGTTCTCTGTAGATGCGTTTACTTGAATCAGGGTTTCGTGGAGCATAAAGCAGATGGTGATGACGCTGGAGGTGATCTGCCCGGCGAGGACGCGACCAGAAGCGCTGGCCGACACTGGAATGAGTCTGGGCTTGGAGCAGTGCTGAGAGGGCTTGGGGAGAGGATTGTAGTGGAGCTCCATCCCCATTCCACTCCTAGCAGCTCTCTGGCCATCCTCCTCCAATTGTGCCAGCCGGAATGGACACGATCCGCGCCAGCCGCTCCCCAGGCCTCCATTGAGCTCGTTTAGGGAGAGGCAGGTGTGGCTGAGCTTGGAAGAAAACTGGAGCAGAGCTGAGAACTGTGATGCCAGCGCGGCTCCCGTGCTGCTTCCTGCTCTAGCCACCCTCGTCGGAGTGCGTCCCCTTGTCGGCTTCCTCCCGTTCCTGCCTGCACGTCCTTTGTAAATCGGGACGTATTTTGCGAGGGCTGGAATGGAGGAAGCTGTAGGAGGGGATATGAAGCATTTTATGGGGAAATGCCGATAATTTGTATGGTGTGTTGTTTTTTTTTTTAAACAATGGCCAAGTCAAAATGTGTGAATTTGAATGTTGAAATCCAATACCTTGATACAACGAACCTTCCAGCAAGAGGAGAAATATACCAGCCAAGATGCGATTGTGCGGTAACCGGTTTGAATTTGTACTGTATCTTTCTGGAAAACTTTAATAGAGGAGTGAAACTAGTCTGTAACAAATGCTATAAGAATTATATTGCAAATTTTTAGTAAAATTACCTATAATACCAATTCTGAATGCTTGTTTTTAACACGGTAGTTCCTTAAAAAAATATAATTTCTTTTTATTAGCACCTGTACTAGAAATTGACTATCTCATCTGTGGAGACTGTGGCAAAGAATTCATGGATTCCTACCTTATGCAGCACTTTGATTGGGCAACATGTGATAATTGCAGGTATTGGAAATAATCAGGAGAGGGAAGCTTTATTCTATATAAAGGTTGCTGGCTATAATTTATTACAGTCATCCTATTTAATTAAAAAAGCTGTCAGCAAAAAGATGTTTTTCAGTAACTAAGAATTACTGGAAAAGTAAATTTGACTTCTAACTCTGTTTTCTGAAGAACAGCAGAATTGTCTCAGGGGCCTGTCTTAGGGTGGGGCACATCAGTAGATTTTTATGTAAAGTTACAGAAACGTGCCTTGAGAGTAGTTAGTGCATTTGTCAGGGTGGAAGTTAATGTCTGGTTGTAGGGTGCAGCTAGTAAAAATCTTGGACCGTATCTGCTGCTGGAGGTGGAGCGGCGGGGGGAGGGCGTTAGGGTGTTTGCCTTCCTGGTGGATTAACGGGGGTGAGGTGGGTGCCCTGTCCGGCAGGCGCGGGCTGGGGGCGCGGCTGCCGGAGGGCAGAGCCCCCGCAGGAGGTCACTGGCTGACCTGCGGGGTGGGGAGCGGTTTGACCTTCAGCCACTCCGCGCTCTTATCTCGGGCACCGAGAATGCTCCAAAAGCCATCAAGATAAGCGGAGCCATGAAACCGCCTGAGCAGCCAACGGGCGGAGAGTATGAATGGCGGGGTGAGGGAAGGTTGCAGCAAGGAGTTGGTTCCAAGAGCTTCCCTTCCCGGCTGGGTGCGGGGAGCAGTCAGGGGCACGCACGGCTACGTAGGCAGCTGGCAGTCTCTGGAGACAAAGTGCTGTCTCTTGAAGGTAAGATGGGTGGGAAAAGGATGTTAAGGGGAGGACTTGGAGCTTTAGAAGTGGTTTTCCTCTAGACTGAGTGGCTCTTGCAGCTGAATGTTGGAGAGTGCCTTAGCTGCTGCTGTGAACTTCGAGCTCTAGTAAAGCTGCACTTAGAGCCGTACTTCCTTGATGACTCTTGCTAGCAGTGCTTGGCAAATGGTTCTGGCTCCACGTTACGCTTCAGTCAGGGTTGCGTAAATGTAATCTTTTCGTTAACTAGTAAGTGCTGCGGTGGTTAAAGAATTTCTCATCTTTCTGGTAAATGTTGCAGTCTTTGAAGGCCTGTATCTTGTCTCGCATTTAGAAAAAAGTGCCCAGTATTGCTACTCTCTGGGATCTAGAAGCATATGGAGTTTGTATGGTCTCAGGTGATCTGACCTGTCTCACATTACACATTCTTTGTCTCTTGACCATGTGTCAGGCTTGTACTTTGCCCTCTTGAATTGCATCTGGGCTAGGTGGATACCTAAAATTACTCATACTCCTTTTGAAGCTTCAGTTACTGCCTCCTGTAAGAAAATACAAGAAAAGCCCTCCCTAGAAAAACAGGCTTCTCAGCCTGTTTGCTCAGAGGGGAGAATTTTTCCACTTAATTTCAGTAGACCTATCCTGGAGTTTAGCCACATTGTTGAAATCCAAAATTATTTGCATACATAAAAACAGAGGATGAGGGTTGCCTGTATTTCAGGAATGTTAGAAGTGATGGGAAGTTAGATGTTAATAATGTGGGTTTCGGGTGTAGCTTTCTCACCATTATTTTACATTTTTCAGAGATGCTGAAGATAAACATAAGCTTATAACAAGGACAGAAGCAAAAGAAGAGTATCTTCTTAAAGACTGTGACTTAGACAAGAGGGAGCCAGTGCTTAGATTCATTGTGAAGAAAAACCCTCACAATCCACGATGGGGTGACATGAAACTCTATTTAAAACTGCAGGTATAGAAACAGTTTTTTTCAGACCTCTTTTTACTTTTGTATGACTTTGGTAGCCAGAATGGCATCACTTTGTTTCTGACTTTTGAATGGTTTTGTCAGAGTTAAGTATGTTATGCATAGCTTGTGTGAGTTTTCTGTGTGGTTAAAACAAAGAGCTGTGGTGCAAATCGATCAAAACGTCTGTCAGAGATGTTCGTGGACCACAGCCTCAGTGGGTTTTGCCTTTACTGGGAGTGAAGTGCGTGGCCTTTCAGCGCTGCACTGAGGTGCGTGGGGCAGCGGCTCCGCCTGTGACCCTGTGTAGCTGTGGCCCTGTGTTGGCAGCTCGGCCCTCAGAGGCAGCAGGAAAGTCAAGTAAATCTTCCAGGGCTCTTGACAGTTCTTGTTTGTTACTTCTCTAGGAATGCTGCTGCTTTAGTGGGATATGCACAAAAGTAGAGCCTGGTTTGACTTTTCCTGGCTGAGGTACATCTAGCTGATGCTAAAAACCAATGTTACCTCTTACTGTGAAAGGAACATGTTCACGAGTCAAAAGCAGAGAGGCGGATGGGAGGCAGAAGCAAGACTGGGTTGGCTTCTGTATAGAAGAAAAATTGTGAGTTAGAATAGTTCACTTTTATCATTTCAGGGGAAAAAGAAACACATTTGTGTCCATCCTGTAGGTAATCAAGCGTTCTCTTGAAGTCTGGGGTAGTGAAGAATCATTGCAAGAAGCAAAGGAGCTGCGCCGTGACAACAGAGAAAAGATGAAACAGAAGAAGTTTGATAAGAAAGTTAAAGGTAAAGAGTTAAACTTACATACTGCAGTACACAACGTCAAGTACAGTTATCTTTGAATTTGTTTCTGTATCTGATTACATCATTTAGAAAATCTCCAGTGTGGCAGAATGGAGGTTTTTGAGAACTGTGTGGGTAAGCCTGGAGCAGCCTGGTCTGTCCTAACTGTTCTGGGCAGAGGCTTGGACCAGGGACCTGAGGTCCCTTCCAACCTGAATTACCCTGTTGTCCTGTGGGCATGATGTCAGTGACAGAAATCAATTAATGGCGGTTCATTATGATGTTTTTAAAATTTTTTTGTATGACCCAGAATGTGCTGTAGATTGTTCTGTTGCTTTTCCTGACGTGGGCTGAACATGGATTTTTGTGGCAGTGGATTATAATTCTGCCATACATATGACTTCAGGTGCTAGAACTGTAAATGAGGGTAGAAAATGCCTTTTCCCATTGTTCACAGCATTCCCAGCTGCTTTTTTACTGCTCGTTATCATTTTTTTCCCCATGATAAATCCCTATTTAGGAAACTTAATCAATATTTGAGAAATATTTTCAGTGCAGACATGCTGGTGATTTTAAAAAAGGCCGCATTTTTTTTTTGCAAAAGAAGACGACTTCCCATGATGTCGGCGCTCGCGGTAGGCAGCGAGCTCAAGCCAGCCCTACTGGTATTGCCTGGCGGAGGCGGTGAGACGTGAGACTGGGAGAATAACGCCCGTCTCGGTGCTTGGCGTTGAGGGCTCGGGAGTGCTGGCTGCGGCCAAGGTGCCAGAGTTCAGCTCAAGTACGGGCCTTAACGTGGCCTGAACATCGTGGCTCAGAATGTGACGACATTTGGCTGTTCGTTATGCTCGCTTCCCATTTGCAACATCCGGATAATACCTTGGGCTCGGCTGCCAGCCCGTGCTCTCTCCAAAACCCGCTGACTTCACTGCGGCTGCGGCAGAGGCAGCTCACGTTATTGGGCGTAAAGCTCAGAGAATGCCAAGTCATTCGGGAGGCTTGCTGTGACCTGAATGAAAAGTACTCGTTCTTGGTCATGTAAAACAATGAGGTGTTGTATAAAAACTTTTCATCTGCATTCCGTCTACCCCCTTTGGATACCTTTGAATGGCTTCGTGTAGGAAAAAAAAAGGGCAGTGGGCAACACGTACTTAATCTAGATGGAAAAAAATCTCCTGTGAGATCTCATGTTGGTGTAGTTCTTACCCTTCAAAATATGCAAATGAGGTGGAAGATTGCAAGGCAAGTCAAAGCTTGTTCTTGCAATAGCAGCTTCTCACCCAAAACTTCCAGAAGACGGGCAACAAACAAACTCTCATCTCTAGTCTTCCGAAAAAGTCGTTGAGTTTTATTAACTGTTGTTTAGGAAAAGTTTTCTTGTATTTTTCACCAGAGCTCCGCCGTGCTGTGAGGAGTAGTTTGTGGAAGAAAGACGCTAGTATCCACGAACACGAGTATGGACCAGAAGAGAACATTGATGAAGATACATATAAAAAGACATGTACTATATGTGGCCATGAATTAACTTATGAGAAGATGTAGTGTTAATTTTTTTTTTTTAAATTCATTATCTTTCTAATATTTTGTATTAAAGTCAAATAAATGCTAATTATTAACAAATTGTTGCCAAATTCAGTGATGATGTACCTCACATGGAACAAGCTCCGTACAGGACAAATAGCTTTGACTTTTAGGCTAGATTTTAGGGTAAAATAACACATAATTATGAGTTCAATGGGGCCAAAAGATAAGGTGGTATCATTCTACTTCATAAACTAAGGTGAACTTCTTGCTGTTTGTCTTGTTTCCCTTAGAGGAGGAAGGATCTGTACTTTGTCCTGCTGGTACCGGCCCTGGGCAGGCAGAGGGCAGTTAGCTGACACAGCACCAACTCTGGTGGTGGGAGACTGTCACCGGGCAGGTTCTGCTGCTTGGCTGTGGAGGCGGCTCTGCTAAAGGAGAGCGCTCTCTTTATCAAAAGAAAAGCCTCATGCTCCTGGGGCGTTCCTGGCACATCTCCACCACGTTTCACAGAGGAGTGTCCTTAAGTCTAGGCCAGTTCTTTTTTGGTTCCTCCCCCAACTTTTGGGCCAGAGGCCAAGGTGACTTTTGAACAACTTTGTCAGAAATTTGTAAATGAAAAGGGTAAGTACCCTGTCCTTGGGGGAGAGGCAGGTAGCATTCACAGGTAGAACTGGAATGATTCCACTAGTAGGTCCTGCCTCCTCTGTTGCTTCCGCATGGTCTGTACTCTCGCATGACCTGCCTTCCCACTGAGCTCGGAGGACTTGGGCCCTGCGCGGCCTGTGGACAGGTTGGCTGGAGGGCAAGAGGCAGGTCCCGTCAAGAGTTTCTGGAGGTAGCCCTCTCTGTCATGGATCCGTGACCTGGTGTTCCCTTGGGTTCCAGATCGCTCTGGGGCAGGTGGGAGGTGTGCACGGGCTGCTGAATCACCTTCCCATGGGCAGGCTGCAGCAGCCACCCCTGCCTCGCCTTGCACAGCACCGCCCAGAAAATGAGGTGGTGAGGGAGAATTTCCACACCACAGCACCCTCCCCCTGGCACCCAGCAGCACACAAGATTGCCTCACTTGTGCACGTGGGTGGATGAGACGTGTCCCGTCAGCCCAAGGAGGTGAAGATAGGTGTGTGTTAGGGTACCAGTGCAGGGAAGGGCACTGCTCCAAACAACTGCATTTAACACCGGCATAACCCTCCCTCGCCTGCTTTCCTTCAGCCGTCCCCAAAACAGGACAAAACACTCCCAGCAGCAGCCTGCTTCACCTTCATTTATTTTTGTCTTTAATTGTGCACTTTCTTCCAACCACACCACGTTTCTACAGTGTCTTTACAGTATCCACCACCTCATGCTTCCGCTCTTCAGAGTTTCTTCACTTTCAGCTGCTGATATCGCTACGTGGACATCTTGTTCTCTTTCCTATGGACCCAACCAGCCCGAGTGTACACTGCTGGGCCTACAGTGAGGGGAAAGTGTCCGACAGACTCGAAAAACGTAATCAAAGCCCATGCTCACCATGGAAATCAAATCAATTTTTAAAGACATCGCTATGTGGTTTTAAATCACAGGTTTACGCTCAGGCAGTTGCAACTGGATCCCCAGTACCCGTAACCTGTCACGGCTCAGAGGAAGTTACAGGTTTGCAAGTTTTAACTGCGTTACCAGTCTTAGAGAAGTCACATTTAAGGTCAGAACCGCCCCACACTAGTTAATATCAGAAATCTTGATACCGAGCCGAGCCAGTGAAAAAAAGCTGAAACCTCAATTAAAATCTCTACAGTATTTAATATTTCTTTACAAACCCAAACAACTATTTGATTACTCAAGAACATTAACAGAAAGATTCGAAGCAGAAGTCTGTGTATGACTGACAAAACCCTTGCGTAAAGCAAATGTACAATGATTAAATGGTATCCCCTGAAAGAATGGAGGGATCAATCAAATGGGAAAGGGTAAGCAGAGGAAGCAGTAACAGATCTAAGTCTACGAGGATATATCAGATTGCTACAGGCCACACACAAACTTAGGTCAACAAAGTAGGAAGCTCCTTTTTTACCCTCCTTGCTTGATCAGGAAGTCAATTGGTCAATGTACGGATGAAATGCATTACTAAGTATAATACTTGAAAAAATAATTTGTTCAACTAAGAAAATTACTCAAAGCTCATCGCTTTCTAAGCTTAAACTCAGTAGCATTGGGCATGGAATTATTTAAACATTCATCTGCAAAAGAAAGTAAAAAGCAAAGACCACAAACAGCTTGGAAATACACCACATGCTGACGGACCTGAGCACCGAAGGCAGCATCTTTGCCGTTCATCACTGCTCACCTAACACCGACTGCTCTGGTCTGGCCTTCACGTACATCATGTTATTTGCATAACTCCGAAACTAAGGCTACTCTGTTTTCAGGTTGTGTGTTCCCAGTCTACATCTCCTGCCAGCGATCACTTAATTTAGCATCAAAATGCTTTCTGAAGACAGTGGAGCCACGTGCTGTTGTCACATTTTACAGCAAGGGAAGGGCAGTAGGTGCAGCCACGGCAAAGCCAGATGAGGTGAGGGCGCCTGGTTCATCCACCATCGCGACTAGAAAGATTTCTGGTATCACTGCAGGCCTGCAGGTCCAGCCCAGCACAAGCCTGGCAGCCCAACAGCCTTAAATAAAGGGACAAGCTGAACACTGCCCTGCCCTCTGCCCTGGTGTCCAGGGCAGGAGTTCCCAAGGTAAAGCTTGCAGCATGGAAGTAAGAAGTCTGTTCTAACTCCAGCTCTGGCTTACTGTCTCGATTTACCAGTCAAGACTGCTGCGAGGAGCAGCTCGTGACTCCTCAGACCATATTGCAAGAAGGACTGCGTTTTCCAGAAGTTGTCCATGAAGTTCCTCTACCACCTGTTTGTAGCTACTGTATTAAGTCACTAGACAATACAATAAAAAACAAAACCCAAACACAAAACATACTTCAATTGTATTACAACCATGTTCTTTCAAACTGTGAAAAATCTAGCTGGCTTGCTAGTAAACAAATCCATATGCTCTAATACTACTCTGAAAGCTTAAATGAAGTGTTTCACATGCCCAAAAGTTGAGACACTTTTCTGTGCCATACGAGAGAAGTTACCGCACTGCTCTTACTGAGAAACCACATTCCCTTTCATACTCACAAAACAGTATCAACTGTTTTTCATTTCTGCAATTCCTTTGATTTAGAGGCAGAGGTAACAAATCACAGAATCACAGAATGTCTCATCTTGGAAGGGTCCTTAGAGATCATCTAATCCAACCTCCTTGCCATTCCGTTGTTTGTTTGGGTTCCTCTGTTTGGTTGGGCTTTTCTGTTTGCTTGTTTCTTATTTTTATACAAACAACGGGGGAAAAGCAAAAATAATATCATGAGTCAAACCAAATTAAAAAGCAACAAAAAGCATTCATATTTACTTCACGTCTATCCCCTATCAGTCATATCTTATAAGGCTTATGATGCTTACACAGTTTGCTGTTGGGTACTGTACTGTTTTCTACAGGAGCACATGAAAGCCTGTTTTAGTCAAAAAAGTTTTCTATCCCCATGTCAAGTTTTCCAAGTAAAAAAAAAAAACCATTAAAGTCCTGCAGACAAGACTCTGCCCATGAATAATCCTCAGGCCTGCAGGGCGCAGAACTGCTGAAACACAGCCAGTATGTGGTGGTCCAGTTCAGCTGTGAACAGGAGGTTCTCTAGGGTCACCATGTACTGCTGGATTATCTGGTGATGCTGGCAGATAAGAAACAAAAACAGAACACAGACCTTTACTGTGAGGAGAAGTCAAGACATGCAAGAACCACAGGTCAAACATTTTCATCAAAATTTTTAAGCACATCTCATTTCTACAACACAGTAGCCCCTGACAGGGAGTGCACGCTGCGGAGCCACTGCCGATGGCAAGATGAAAGCATGTGCTAAAATTCCGTCTTGAGAAGCACTGTGTTCCCTGCAGCTCCTCCCTCTTGGGACCTGGACTGCTTGCAGAATACCAGGCAACGGCAGAGGTATCCTACGAGAATCACCACATCTGCTTTCCCCTCCGGGGACGGGTCCAACCCAGGGGAGAACTATACCAGCACTCCCACTCTTAAATGCTCGCACAGGTTTAATTTTCAATTACTATCACTTCCATTCAGCCACCTGTGCTTATCTCATTTAGTACAGAGCCAATAATTCAAATCTATTTTCAACCGATATTTACGCCTTTTTTAATAAAAGGAATTCTGCAACATTTTAAACCACTTATTTAAAAAGACATCTATTCCTGTTCGCTCACAACTTTGCCCTTGCTATACACCTGCAATTAAGAGGAGCTCAGCAAAATTCATAATCACATCTCAGTCTTTTTTCCCAGTATGCTCACAGCGTGGGAAATAATCAAGGACCAGTCACTCCTGGCAGAGACGTGGCCAGAACCAGAGTTTATGCCCGAGCCCTCCATCAGCCTTCAGAGAAGAGCTGCTGCCACCTACTGCTGCTCTCACGGAGCGCTCAGTTCTCCAGCCACAAAAGCCCCTCTAACCACTTCCCTGCGCAAAGCCAGAGTGAAACTTACCTGCAGGAAGATCTGCTGCAACCTCTCGATACAGCTCTTGTACCAAGGTGTGAACACATCAATCCCACTCGTCTCACAGCGCACTAAGTGCTCAGTTAACAGCATAATAAAACGCTGCAGGAGACGGGAAAAAAAAAACAACCCCAAAACTTCAGTCTTGTCAAATGAAAGGAGGATCCTAACCTCAGGTGAGAGGATCTGGGGGACAGAAGCTTTGAACAGCAATGTGAGAATGATTACTCTGGTAGGCAAACACTGAATTCAGTGAGAAATAAAATCCAGTTACCTTCTGGCTGATCAGGAAACTGTGTGCAAGCAGAACTGTTCCAAGCACTTGAAACTCAACAGATTCTGCTCAGAAGCAGTTTATGCAGGGAGAAGCTCTGGATTAACTCTAACCCACAGTAAACCCCTTCTCACTTGCCCAAGATGCCTGAGATACAAGTGACACTGCAAGCTTACAAATCCAGAGAAGTGACAAGAGCCTGTGTCCATCATTACCTGGAATATAACAAGGAAGAGATTCTTTTGCT